CTACATAATTGAAGAACCTTCTGTAAGACACGGAGTTGTTAATATAGAAGTTTTAGAGTTTGTTATGTTTGCTATAAGTGTAACAGTGTAAGCAATGGATCAAAATATCTTAACATTATTGAAGAATGTAAATTAATGATGGAGAATGGATATTTCTGTTACCATATTTCTCAATACAAAAATGGTGAATATATTAATAATAATTCTTCTTTATAAATAATCTCTGTAAAAAAATATTGAACTTGAATAACGTTTTTATATATTTTTAGTTTAATCAGATTGGTCATCGTTAGTTATTGTCGGAGAAACAAAGATATCTGAAGAAAAATACATAACTGGTATGACTACAGAAGTAATTTGTGCGTGAGTATACCTAATAATCGCTTATACGAAGAAATTAAATATTTAATTTTTAAAACATTTATATTTCACAGGTGAGAGTTTTCTAATCAAAGCATTTGAATTGTGTCAAACGTTATGATCCTACACGTGAACTACATAATTTAACGAAGTTGTTAATATAGAAGTATTAGAGTTTGTTATGTATGCTATCAGTGTAACAGTGTAAGCAATGGATCAAAATCTCTTAACATTATTGAAGAATGTAAACTTATGATGGAGCATTTACTATTTCTGCTACTATATATCTCAACACAAACCTGGTGAATATATTAATATATATTTTTCTGGATTGTTAATTTCTGTAATGAAATATTGAACTTGAATAACATTTCTATATATTCTTAGTTAAATCAGATTGGTTATCGTAAGTTATTGTCGGAGAAGCAAAGATATCTGAAGAAAAGCACATAACTAGTATGATTACGGAAGTAATTTGTGCGTGAGTATACCTAATAATCGCTTATACGAAGAAATTAAATATTTAATTTTTAAAACATTTATATTTCACTGGTGAGAAGTTTTCTAATCAAAGAATTTGAATTGTGTCAAACGTTATGATCCTACACGTGAACTACATAATTGAAGAACCTTCTATATGTCACAGAGGTGTTAATTTAGAAGTTTTAGAATTTGTTATGTATGCTATCAGTGTAACAGTGTAAGCAATGGATCAAAATCTCTTAACATTATTGAAGAATGTAAACTTATGATGGAGAATGGATATTTCTGCTACCATATTTCTCAATACAAAAATGGTGAATATATTAATAATTATTCTTATTTATAAATAATCTCTGTAAAAAAATATTGAACTTGAATAACGTTTTTATATATTTTTAGTTAAACCAGATTGGTTATCGTTAGTTGTTGTCGGAGAAACAAAGATATCTGATGAAAAATACATAACTGGTATGACTACAGAAGTAATTTATGTGTGAGTATACCTAATAATCGCTTATAAGAAGAAAATAAATATTTAATTTTTAAAACATTTCTATTTCATAGATGAGAAGTTTTCTTTTTAAAGCATTTGAATTGTGTCAAACGTTATGATCCCACACTTGAACTACATATTTGAAGAACCTTCTTTATGTCACGGAGTTGTTAGTATAGAAGTTTTGGAATTTGTTATGTATGCTATCAGTGTAAGTATTTGATCAACATTTCTTAACGGTATTGAAGAATGTAAACTAATGATGGAGCATTTACTATTTCTGCTACTATATATCTCAACACAAACCTGGTGAATATATTAATATATATTTTTCTGGATTGTTAATTTCTGTAATGAAATATTGAACTTGAATAACATTTCTATATATTCTTAGTTAAATCAGATTGGTTTTCGTAAGTTATTGTCGGAGAAGCAAAGATATCTGAAGAAAAGCACATAACTAGTATGATTACGGAAGTAATTTGTGCGTGAGTATAACTAATAATCGCTTATACGAAGAAATTAAATATTTAATTTTTAAAACATTTATATTTCACAGGTGAGAAGTTTTCTTTTTAAAGCATTTGAATTGTGTCAAACGTTATGATCCTACACGTGAACTACATAATTGAAGAACCTTCTGTAAGACACGGAGTTGTTAATATAGAAGTTTTAGAGTTTGTTATGTATGCTATCATTGTAACAGTGTAAGCAATGGATCAAAATCTCTTAACATTATTGAAGAATGTAAACTTATGATGGAGAATGGATATTTCTGTTACCATATTTCTCAATACAAAAATGGTGAATATATTAATAATTATTCTTATTTATAAATAATCTCTGTAAAAAAATATTGAACTTGAATAACGTTTTTATATATTTTTAGTTAAACCAGATTGGTTATCGTTAGTTGTTGTCGGAGAAAAAAAGATATCTGATGAAAAATACATAACTGGTATGACTACAGAAGTAATTTGTGCGTGAGTATACCTAATAATCGCTTATACGAAGAAAATAAATATTTAATTTTTAAAACATTTCTATTTCATAGATGAGAAGTTTTCGTTTTAAAGCATTTGAATTGTGTCAAACGTTATGATCCCACACTTGAACTACATATTTGAAGAACCTTCTTTATGTCACGGAGTTGTTAGTATAGAAGTTTTGGAATTTGTTATGTATGCTATCAGTGTAAGTATTTGATCAACATTTCTTAACGGTATTGATGAATGTAAACTAATGATGGAGCATTATTGAGTTTTAATAAACTAATAAAAACTTATAAAAAATATTGAACTTGAATAACATTTCTATATATTCTTAGTTAAATCAGATTGGTTATCGTAAGTTATTGTCGGAGAAGCAAAGATATCTGAAGAAAAGTACATAACTAGTATGATTACGGAAGTAATTTGTGCGTGAGTATACTCAATAATCGTTTATACGAAAAAAATATTTATTTTATTTTTAAAAACTTTTATTTTTCACAGGTGAGAAGTTTTCTTTTTGAACGCATTTGAAGTCTGTCAAATGTCTTGATCCCACACGTGAACTGAATAGTTGAAGAACTTTCTATAAGTCACAGAGGTGTTAATATAGAAATTTTGAAATTTGTTATGTATGCTATCAGTGTACCAGTGTAAGCAATGGATCAAAATCTCTTAACATTATTGAAGAATGTAAACTAATGATGGACAATGGATATTTCTGCTACCATATTTCTCAATACAAAAATGGTGAATATATTAATAATTATTCTTATTTATAAATAATCTCTGTAAACAAATATTGAAATTGAATAACTTTTTAGATATTTTTTGTTGAAGCAGATCGGTTATCTTTAGTTATTGTCGGAGAAACAAGGATATCTGAAGAAAAATATATAATAAGTATGACTACAGATGGGATTTGCGTGTGAGTATACTCAATAATCGTTTTTACAAAGAAAATAAATATTTAATTTTTAAAACATTTATATTTCACAGGTGAGAAGTTTTCCAATCAAAGCATTTGAATTGTGTCAAACGTTATGATCCTACACGTGAACTACATAATTGAAGAACCTTCTATATGTCACAGAGGTGTTAATTTAGAAGTTTTAGAATTTGTTATGTATACTATAAGTGTAACAGTGTAAGCAATGGATCAAAATATCTTAACATTATTGAAGAATGTAAATTAATGATGGAAAATGGATATTTCTGCTACCATATTTCTCAATATAATAATAGTAATTAAATAATAATATAATAATTGAAGAACCTTCTGTAAGACATGCATTTGTTAATATAGAAGTTTTGGAATTCGTTATATATGCTATCTATGCATTTTTAACCAACCCTAGAGAACAATAAGCAGCCCATTTATTTTCTTGATATAGCCCTCCCCCCTGAATTCTGTTTAGTCCCACTGTGTAAAAATATAATATTTTATGATTGCATATAATCATCTCTAGTGTACCTGAATCATTATTCTAGCGTATAGGCCCCTCCCCCCATATAAATTCATCACTCTACGAATATGTCTATTATGGTTATAAGAAATATAGTAAATTATAAATAAAAAATAATAATATTTTTATGTATTATGTTATATTACTTTATACTTTTATAATTATATTAAACCTCACATAAGTAATAATATAACATTTACAAGCATATATTACCTAATTAATAATAAGTATTTTCACATTATACAATATTTTAACTCTTAAGAATTAGGTATGTAAAATAAAAATAAATAAATAGACTTATAATATAAGTCGGTGATTATTAGGAAGCAAATGTTTAAACTCATCAATTACATCATTAAGTCAATACCAATTAAAAGTTCTTGTTCAACAAACAAAAAAAGAAGCGCATCCAATCTTTGTTAACATAGTATTTCTTAATTTGTTTTTTATAGTTTGTTTTTTTGAAAAACTAGTTTCACAACTACAACTATAGTCACTGGAATTGTCACAAACATTTCAAGACAATGAAAAATGTTTAATACTGTTTTAACCATTCGAGCCATTTGTATATAGAACCTGAGTTTGTACCGTTTGGTGAATCTTCTTGGTGTATTGATAAAATAGTATAATCATTTTTCATTTGAATAACATTGAATATATTGTTATATTATTATATTAATATCTGCACGCTCAGGCGCATGTCAATAATTTCGATTCCGTCAAATATACACCATGCTATTCTTATGACAAAAAAACCCAAAAGCTAGGCAAAATTGTACGGATTTTAATTTTGAAAATGGATATTAATTAGTTATTTTGTTGGTTAGGGAATGGTATTATTATTTCTAAACATGTAGTTTAAAAACAAAAAAATAAATATTTTATATAAGTAATTTTACATTTACTATTTTATTTGACCATTAAAAAAAACATTATTCCTTATACATTTTGTATAATAAATGAAATGTTTTGCCAACCGACAGAATGGCGGCCGTTGACAGCTGAGCTTCACTTAATAACAATGTAAATTGTATTGGAGTTCCCTATCTAGTGTAGTATTATAGAAGTCTGTGAAAATAACATACAAATGATACACAGCGTCCCCGTTACGTCTTATCAATTTCAATCGCCAATTGCGACTATTAATATTATTATTATAAAAATTATTTATTGGCGTTAATCTACCTATTTTATTTTTTTTTTCAACGGTCACGTCCCGTAAACCCGCTTCTCATCGGTAACCACCGCGACGATTGGCACCCGACAAATTAAATGAATTAAAGAATTTGTCTTGTCATGGTTGGCACTACCGATCGCACAGCGTCCTTTTCTACGTGGCTTGCCGTCAGTTTTCGGGCGTCGTCGGCGGCGTCGGCGGCGGCTAGCCGGGTACAGAACAAAGCAACAAAGCGCTGTCCGATACATTTCCATTTTCGAGGCGTTGGCCGTCGGCTTGTGATATTTTAGTATTTTACACATCGTCGGTGGTCGCTTTCCGCTTTTTTCAGCCATGTCATTCGGTTCGGACCAGGGTAGTTGTGTTATGACTGCCCTGGTCTGGAATATGGATTGCCGAACATTTTTGTTCGAGCTTGGAGTGAGTCGTACGCCGTTGAGAAAGTGAAAATCAAGTGAGTTCCGTTTTATCTTGTACATATCCATGACGCACTCGACAATACAGATCGATTTTAGTGTTGTGTCACGAATTGTAATTATATCTTCTTGTTGCTCACCTAAACTATTTAATGACTGTCACTAATAACGTGTTTATTATTTGCTCACAGTGGTCCTATGCATCAATTTGGTCGGAAGAAAAATCAAGATGGCAGCCATACTAGCAGTAACACACTCAAATCTCAAAACTAATTCGTCGTTTTCACCTTCTTCTGTGGTCATGGTAATATAATCCTATGCAAATCCATATTCGTGTGCGGATTTCAGAAATATAATTACCCCGATCCTGTAACATCCGTACTCCGAGATCAACCGTTTTTATATACGTATTCCATGCAGTCTAGATGTTCAATTGCTATAGCCTTGACACGTGTGATTCCATCCGATGGTACAACTAGCTGTGGGATAGAAGTATGTGTGTCAAGGCTAGGGCATTTGGACTGCGTGGTATACGTGTATAAAAACGTCTGACTTTGTCGTTAATATTACATCAGAGGTGCCACTAGTTCGGAACAATTAGATTATCTGAAATATGTACATGGAGACAGGAGCTGTATTGAGATAAAATTATTACCTGACCTTACCAACCAATAAATAGTCAAGTTGTTTTCCCTTGCTTTACAAACATAAATTGCCATAGTTTAATGATATTAGAGATTATATAAATCTAATAACATTTTTTTGAGTAAATTATAACATTCAGTAATTTTTTAGATATTTGTAAAATTTTAACAAATTTTATAATTAAATGAGTTTTGTGTTCATAATAATTTTGTCTTTGGTTTTTATTTATTAGTTTATATTTCTACTAGAATGTTACCTTGTTAGTCGTCAGCTGAATAACAATTACTTTAATTTTATTGTGACAAATGTTTAATATATTAAAGATAAGAACATCTGTGTTTGTATGAGGTTGGTTTTGTACAACATATAGGTTCAGTTTAATGTGAGTAAAGTACTTGCATTTTTAACTAGAAAAAATTTATATTTCTTTAAATTGGTTGTAAATATTTGACTATACATCAATTTTGTGGGCTGTAAGAAATTATAGAAAATGAGTAAAAGTTCACTGATTGACATTCCTTCCATAATTATTAACAATGTTACAGATTTTAATGAATAGTAAGTACTATTAGCCATTAGCAAATACTCAATTCAAATAAAATAGAAAAATTTAAGCAAACAATTTTTAACCAAGCCAACAAAAATAATAATTTTTAAAATGATTAATAATATTTTTATTGTTTATATAATACATAATAATATGATGAATGTATTATAATGTATATTATGTAGTGTATACATAATACCTATATTAGTTGGTGAGCAATTGTGTTGAGATTTTATCAGAAAAAAGAAATAGTATGCAATTATGGTATATTTGTCTAACCCATTCTGGGTGCTTCTGCATTTATTGTGGATTGTTGTTGGTACTTTTACAAAATATAGATTTTGTTGATTTGGCAAATCCTATTTAATATTGTATGGCTATATTAAAAGAATGATTACAACAATTTCAATTATAACATAAAGAGTTATACATTTATCTTAAATTGATACGTTTTTCAAGCGTTTATCTAACATCATCGTGGAGATTAATTTTTAAGTTGTATTTTATGAAAGGACGAAGTACAAAAATTAATGTGTATATTACTATAGTCATTAATCCAATGTCTAGTCACTAATCTATAAAAAAATTACATATTATATGGATAAAATTAAAAATATATTATATAGCATTTAAAAATGTAATAGATTTATATTTAAAAAAATTATTAAATAGTTATGAATAATATTAAGCTGAACAATATATTTCTTTTAGTTTTTATTAAATAAAATAATATAACCATAATGCTGTGAGCATTAAAAGCTATTGATAGTTATATTAAATGATAATAAATTTGCTGTAAAATAAACTATGTATGTAATAATACTATAATAGTATTGAAGACTAATAATTATTCCTTCCATAAAAACCTTTCCAGGATAATTATACAAAAGAACAAACATATTATCTAAATAAATACACATAAATAGTATACATTTATTTAAAATAATACATTTAAGTAACATCATATTGAATATTATTAAATTAAAACATTTTGAAAAAAAATTAATTACCTACTTAGTTAATTTATATTAAAACTGAATAACATTAGTGAGCTAACTTTCCAATAAATACTTTTTTCTTTCCACAATATCTGAAATGCTATTGTTGTCCTCTTAGGAAATCAAATCTGCATAAAGTGTTGTTAGCTTTAATATAGAATATTAGAATTAATTTACTTATTATCAAACTAAAAATATAGGATTTAATTTATATTTTAACTTTAAGTGAGTTATAACTTAAAACTATGTAAAATGTAAATTATTAAAATTTTTTACAATTTAAATATTAATAAGAGCTTATGATATATTATAGACAATTATCGAGTTTGATAACAATTCAGTTAATTCTAGTTTGAAGTAGAACAGTTATAATGAAAGCTGAAAACATAAAATTGTATCTGCTGAACAAAAATTTACTACGTTGAGATGTTGTACGTTTGTAAGATGGGACAATATAGACAAGTTTTTTATTCCATTTATTTTTGCTTATAATAATACAAAGAAAATTATTCAAGGTAAAACTAACTTTATCATTAATTATTATTATGCTATTGACTACATTTTTATTTCTGATTTAAATGTTTAACATGATGTATTGATGGCTTACAATTACACATAGCAATAGGAATTATTGTTTAACATTTCTCAAACCATAAAAGTAAGATATAGGTTTTATGCTATACTTAGGTATTTGTTTTTCAATCACAGAGAATTTGTTTATGAGTGAATATCCAATGTCATACAAATTTTAAATTCAAACGCTCATTACCGAATTGATTAGGTCTTCAATCTTATCTTAAAATACGTTGGATGGTTCAGTGGAGGTTGTGGGGCTTTTGGCAGTATTGCGGTTGGTACACGTAAAACGCTTTTTAGTATAATTTGTCATTTTTCTGAAGGTTGTTTCGGAAAGTCCATTGCAATAAAAGTGGGTTTGGATTTCACATAAACTGTATTGAAGTACGTCTTTACTTAGGTTATAGTTTATACATCTACCTATTTCTAAGATGAAAAATATTTTTTAAGGCTCCTACTAATTCGGTATATTATGCGCTCTACGCTCGGTCTACGTTCGGTATATAGGTACGCGGATACTGGACAATGACTGCATCTACGTTATCTGCCTAGGTTTTATAATATAATATGTTAGGTATGGAAACGATTGCCATTATTTTTATGTTCATCAGTTGTTGGTTTATGAAACTTTTGTTGTATATTGTTGTATTTTATAAACACGCAATGACATTTTCAAATGTGTTACCTACTGAAGTATTATAAATACTAATGCCTAATAATAAAATTAATTACTTTATTCACAATTAATTAACCGATTGGAAACATACAGAAAATATTCTCCAAATAATGTTACTTTACCTTGATAACTAGTTTATTCGTAAATTATTCGTATAATAATGGTATAATATACATTGCAAAAGATAGATTTTACGTTGACAATACGTATATTCATATTCGCACACTTTTCTTCATCAAATTACGTTTATTTTACTTTGATGATATTATGTTGATTATTGGTTGGTCGAAATTACGTCAAATATGGATATATATAGATATATTTTACGTTGACGAATCTTGAAGACAAGAAAAGTGTTTCGTTTACAGAATTCATATAAAATTATGTAAAACTTAAGTTTAATTTGAAATAAAATAAATGGACTATGGATAAATTTTGTTTTCAATTTTTAATATTTTTTCTTTTCAGTTAAAATAACTCGTTTACACAATAATTGGTAATAATTAGGTATAATAGGTAGGTATCGTATATTATATTTGAGCCACACATACAATTCTATGGATTGGAAGTATATTTGATGATATTTAGGCGAATAAATAAATTTGTATATTATAACCTATTTAGGGGAATATAGTTGTATTCAGACTGTCAGCCATCCATAAGTCAATGGTTTGAAATAAAGTTGAAGTCAATTTCAACAGCGAATGAAATAATAGTGTATTTTCAGTAATTATAAAGTGAACAAAAGTCGTATATGTGTGTATATGACTGAGTGATGTGAAGGTGCTCTGGACTATTCCATTTAATACTTAGATCATATTTTGTATATTGTAAAAGGTCACGTCTCATGACTATTAAGAGTGGTTTATGTCTATAAACTGCGAATATAATTATAATATAGTACCTATAATGCAGATACACGGCTCTCAACAAGACGTTATGATGTTGAGTTGGTTTATGAGGTTGTAAGGCAATGTTTAAATTTGTTACATAATAGATTTGTTAAACAACTTATAAATTATAATATATGTTATACATATTTTCTTTGTTTCATACCTTAAACCACCTTTTAAACATTTTCATTTGGAAGTTGACGATTATAAACTTTTAGATATACCTAATACAAATTTTATTTTTATATTTCATGATATATTTCAAGAAAAAAAATTTCATGAAATTTTAAAACCCTAATTATCAGACCACAGACGACGAGGAGATAATTAATAACCCTAGTTTATAGGTGCGTGTATAATATTGCTTGTCACAAATCTGCACTGCACTAATTTGTTATATATATTATGTAAATTATATTATAAATATGTATATTTTTTTAATTACTTAATACGATAATTAATAGAAACAACTTTTAGTATTAAATCGTATAGGCCAATTCATGAATATATTTTATTGGTTGAAAAAGTTATATTTCAAACATGAAAATGGAAGAAACCTTATAATAATATACCTAATATTATACATTTATTTTATATTTATATACGTAAACTAACCAGAAAATATTCTAAACGTGATTTATAGGTTATCAAATGCAGTTATATTATAACCAATGATTTATGTAATAATTAATATTGTTAATGACCCAATAAATATCATACGAAAAATTAAGTAT